TAATTCAAGTCCAGTGCAAAAACGCATGATCGCACGGGCCCGCCCGCTGCGTTTCAGCCTGGGTTTCCATTATTTTTGCGTTTTCAGTGATGTTTATTCCTTTTTATGCGTTTTTTGCAGCTATGCAATGCAGAAAACGCATACTGACGAGGGATTGTCTGTGTGCGTCTGTGTGACCGTGTGTTCGTCTGTCAGGCTTCATCTCAAGACCTACAAAAGCTACAGGGCTGAAACTTTGGGAACTTAATCTACATGCACGTATGGGCCCCAATCCCCAAAATGGGCGCCATTACCCGCGCGGTACTCACGTAAGAGCCCGCCAAAGTTTTTCACAGGTAAGCTCATAACTCGGGGATCTGAGAAGTTAGAAAGCTGAAATTTTAAGGGGATGTTCCCCGTCCAAATAGGTATTGATGAGCTCAAACCCATTCCCCGGGCAAGCGTAGTACCCGCGTACGGGCGCGCCAAAATTTTTTTTGGGTAAGTTGATAACTCGATTACGTGAAAAGCTAAAGGATTGTAATTTTAAGAGGATACTCCCCGTCCACCTAAGTCTCATCCAGCTCAAACTCAGCCCTCGGTATGCGTACTCACGCACGAGCTCACAAAGTTTTTCTCGGGTAAGTTGCTAACTCGAGGACATGAAAAGCTAGAAGACTGTAATTTTAAGAGGATGTTCCCCGTCCGCGTAAGTCTCAAAGAGCTCAAACCCAGACATCTGGTGTGCCTGGTACCCACGTACGGGCCCGTGAAATTTTTTTCCAGTAAGTTGCTACCTCAAGAGCCAGGAAAGCTAGAAAGCTGAAATTTTGAGAGGGTGTTTCCTGACTGTTCTGGCGGTTAGTCTTAATTTGTTTAGCTAGAAACATTTGTCGAAGAAACCGGTGCCGGTAGCGACAAAAACTGCGGGGAACCATGCAAAAAACGCATCTTCGCACGGGTAGCGCGTGCGCTGGCCAATTATTAGATATTGCAATTTCCCTATAAAGTTAGCAAAAAA